CAGCCCGGTGACATGATGTTATAAAAATGGCACTTCATCTCTGCTTCCTCCTCAAGCCCATAATTCTCATCTAATCTTTGAGAAAAATGACAGAAAAATCCCAATTAAGGCACAGTCTACAAAATACCTGACCAGTACCCCTCAAAACTGCCAAGATCATCAAAAACAAGGAAAGTGTGGAAAACTGTCCCAGCCAAGGGGAGCCTAGGAGACGTGATGACTAAATATAATGTGGAATCCTTGTGGGATCCTGGAACAGACAAAGGGCATTAGGTGAAAACTAAGGAAATTGGAATAAAGTATAGACTTCAGTTAATAATAATTTTTATTTTTCTTAGAGACAGGGTCTCTCTCTGTCACCCAGCTGGAGTGCAGTGGCCTGATCATAGCTCACTGCAGCCTTCAACTCTTGGGCTTAAGCGATCCACCTGCCTCAGCCTCCTGAGTAGCTGGACTACAAGTGCCACCATGCCCCGCTAATTTTTAAATTTTTTGTAGAGACAGGGTCTCACTATATTGCCCAGGCTGGTCTCTAACTCCTGGCCTCAAGTGATCCTTCTGCCTCGACCTCCCAAAGCGTTGGAATTACAGGCATGAGCCACTGTGCCTGGCCAGTTATCAATAATATTGTACTGATTAATTATAACAAATGTACCGTACTAATGCGAGGTGTTAATAATAGAGGAAGCTGGGTGCAGGGTATGTGGGAACACTCCATACTATCTTTGTGATTTTTCTGTAAATATAATGCTGTTCTAAAAGATAACATTTATTTTTCATCCCCCTCCCCAAATAAGTAATTTTCCCTTCTTTAAGGGAAAATTAAAGTTACATGACTTCATAAGTCATGTAACTTTTCCGAACTCCAATTTACCCATCTTGAAACAGGGAAATTATTTCTAACCTTTTAAACTATAATCAGTACTTTCATTTATTGAATGTTCACTGTGTACTCATTTCTGTGCTAAGCAGCCTTTACACGCATTATCCCATGTAACCATCACAATGAACCTATGGCCTGGGATCATCATTTCCCTTATTTGCCCACCTGGAGACAGGTTGCATCTAGGTCAGAGAGCTGGTAAGCAGAGGAGGCCAAACTCAAGCCTTGGTCCATCTGATGTCAAAGGCTCTTAACCTGTGTTCTTCACTGACTCAAGTTCCTCCTTCCTCCTATGTCCCTGTAGATGCTGCCAACCTCAAAGCCTGTTTTGAAAGATGTGCCTCCCACACAAACTGCGTGTAAGTCAGCATTCTCCTGAATTGAGGCTCTCAAAATCTACTTCTTAGAGTTGATCGGGAAGGCATCACCATAAATCTTAAATTCAGCTGATTAAAAAAAAAGTCATCACCAGTAATGACAGCATTCATTCTCTGAGCACGTCCTCTGTGCCAAACACGATAAGCTTATCAACTTCTGAATTCATATAATAATGCTAGAAGAAGCTATTAAAACTTCATCTTAAACCGTCATATATTGCTGGTGGGAATGCAAAATGGTGCAGGCACTTTGGAAACCAGTTTGGCAGTTCCCTGAAACGTTAAAAATAGAGTTTCCGGTGGGCACGATGGCTCACACCTGTAGTCCTAGTACTCTGGGAGGCTGAAGTGGAAGGATTCTTTGAGGCCAGAAGTTCAAGACCACCCTGAGTAAGAGTGACACCCTGTTGCTACAAAAAATTTAAAAATTAGTCAGGCATGGTGGCATGTACCTGTAGTCCCAGCTACTCAGGAGGCTGAGGCAGGGATCACTTGAGCCCAAGTTTGAGGCTGCAGTGAACTATGATTGTGCCACGGCACTCTAGCCTGAGCAACAGAGTGAGATCCTGTCTCAAAAAAGGAAAAAAAAATACAGTTACCATATGACCCAGCAATTCAACCCCAAGGTATATACCCAAGAGAATAGAAAACACGTGTTCATACAAAAAAATGTACAGGAATGTTCACAGCAGCATTATTCATAACAGTCAAAAAGTGGAAACGATCCAAATGTCCACCAATTGAAAAATTGATAAATAAAATTTGGTACATCCATACTATGAACTGTTATTTGGCAATAAAATGGAGACAAGTTACAATGTGGATGAACTTTAAAACCATAATGCTAAGTAAAAGAAGCCAGTATTTTTTTTTTTTTTTTTGAGGCAGAGTCTCACTCTGTTGCCTGGGCTAGAGTGCCATGGCGTCAGCCTAGCTCACAGCAACCTCAAACTCCTGGGCTCAAGCAATCCTCCTGCCTCACCCTCCCAAGTAGCTGGGACTACAGGTGTGTGCCACCACACGCAGCTAATTTTTACTATTTTTAGTAGAGACAGGGTCTCATTCTTGCTCAGGCTGGTCTCGAACTCCTGAGCTCAAGCTATCCTCCCACCTTGGCCTCCCAGAGTGCTAGGACTACAGGCGTGAGCCACCACGCCCAGCCTGACAATGCTAAGCAAATGAAGCCAGTATAAAAGACTGGGTGAATAATATGATAAGGTATGTGAATTAGATCTCAATAAAGTTGTTTTTAAAATCCTTTATTTTACAAATAAAAATTCATTGTACAGAAATGGCAAGTACATTGCTGAAGATGACCTAGCTACTACACTGAGCTCGTTCAAAGCAAAGAGATGCTTTTCCTAATTGCAGCCTCACTATGGTGAATGAGTTTTGCTTTGCTTTGTCTTTGTCCAAATGTCAACAATGGTTTCTGGACGCCCATTTTATCTCCATCTGAGGTGTTGCCATGAGGTATAATCAGAGCATAGAGATGAATCAGTGGGGTATGGTGGTTAAGAGGACAGGCTAATTAAATTCTTTCCCATTAGCTTGTTACATTTTCTTCACACAGTATGTGTTTGCTGCTCCTTTCTCACAGTAGAATATAAGCTCCAGGAAGGCCGGGATTCGTTCTGTTTACGAGTGTAGTGCCTGGCACGGTGGATGAAGTCAACGGTGGTTGGAAGAATGAAAGGCAGCTCAGGAGGGAGGAGGGAGGTTTCTGACACAGAGATGGAAACAGTGGGGGGAGCGGAACATCAGATTGAGGAGATGACCCAGTATGGGATATCTCAGGTGCTTGTGGGAGAGATCTAAGAGAGGCTAGATATACATGTCTAGAAAATACTTCACTGAGAGTTCCACTCTCAAATGGCCAGGGAGGTGGCCTGCTGACTAGTGAAAATGGTCTACTCCAAGACAATAGAGCGGAGGGAACAATGGCAATCTGGCAAGATCATGCCCCATTGCCAGGGACAGCCATGGCGGAAAGCAGGTTAGTAACGATAGACTTTCAGATTTTTCGAAGGATGCTGAAAAAACAAGGACATCCATGTGAAATCTTGTCTGCAAGTCACATTTCGCCTTCTGGTCACCTGTTTTTGACTTCTGTTGGAGCAATCCAGCCTTCCCGAGAAGTCTTGGGTATGTGTGTGGTTGCTGAGAATGTTACTTGCGTCTTTCCTAAGGCAACAGGTATACTTGGAACAGGCCACCCAGTTAATTGTAGGGGACTCAGGTAGGGACCAACCCTGGTAACCCAGTTTAGTAGTCACTTGTTTTTTTAACGGTTACATCAAAGAATAATTTTAAGTGTAAAAAGGAAATTGCAAAACAGTACATTTCACAAGATCCCATTTTTTCAAAATATTTTACACACATACAGGTATATTACCTCGTTTTATTGTTCTTTGCTATATTGTGCTTCACAGATAGTGCATTTTTTATAAATTTAAGGTTTGTGGCAACCTTGAGTTGAACATCTGTCAGTGTCATTTTCCCAATAGCATGTGTTCACTTTGCATCTGTGTCACATTTTGGTAATTCTCACAATATTTCAAACTGTTTCACTATCATTATATCTGTTATGGTGATCTGTAATCAGTGATCTTTGATGTCACTATTTTTAAATTGTTTTCGGGCACTACAAGCCAAGCCCGTATAAGGTATGGCAAACTCAGTCAATAAATGTGTTCTGTCCGCTCCGCTGACTGGCTGTTCTCCCATCTCTCTCTCCTCAGGCCTCCCTCTTCCCTGAGATATGATATTGAAATTAGGCCAATTAATAACCCTACAATGGCTGAACTTAAGAGTTCAAGTGAAAGAGTCCACTGATGAGGCAAACTTCAGCTGTCTTATTTGAAGAAACTGCCACAGCCACCCCAACCTTCAGCAACCACCACCCTGATGAGTCAGCAGCCACCAACATCAAGGCAAGACCCACCACCAGCAAAAAGATCACAACTCACTGAAGGTTCAGATGATCACTAGCATTTTTTGCAATAAAGTACTTTTTAATTAAGGTACGTACAATGTTTTTTTAGACAATGCTATTGCACACTTAATAGACTACAGTATACTGTAAACATAATTTTATATGCACTTGGAAACCAAAAAATTCGTGTAACTTGCTTTGATATTTACTTTATTGTGGTGGTTTGTAGTAGTTAGAAAAATAACTGAGGAATTTACCCCAACAATTAACAGCAGTTATCTCTGGAGAGGTTGGATTATGGTCCCATTGTACTATGTATTTCTGGGTGTTTGGATTGATTTATAGTGACCATGTATTACTTAACAAAAACCAATACATTTTTAAAACTTATGCTTTCTAACATAACTATGAATGGACATACATGTGTAGATAAACACATAGAAAGGAACCTGAAGAACATATGTCAAATGATCGAGAGTGGCTACCTCTGGGGAAGGGTATGGGGTTTGGGAAGGCTGGCAGGTGAAGGGGAAATTTAATGTTTTGCTCAGTGTCTTTCTGTATTATTTGAATCTTATAGAATATGTATTCCTGGGTTGTAGAAAAATAACGTGAAAAACTTCAGTGCCCAACACTCTAATGCATCCATCCAGAAGTAGCAGAACAACTCTCCCAAAAGGGAAGGAGGGAAAAACTTTCCTCAGGACAAGGACAGTGTTGTCCTCACCCCACCCCTACCCCAGGACCCAGCCCAGCCCACCCTAGGCCACCCCACCCCACACACACTGAAAGAGGAGCCGGGGGCCTCATTGTAACACTCATTTTTATATAAATATCCGCAAGTCATGTTACAGAATAAGCCCCACCAGGGAAAAAAGTCAACGTATGGTTTGGTTAAACTGACCCCTGCCTTCTAGGTCGGGCCCCAGCCTAGAGGCGCCTGTTGCTTTGGGAAGGTTGGGGCTGCTGCCGTGAGGCTGCTGAAGCTGCCCGTGTCGCCCACCCCTGGGCCGACCCCCTTCTTTGGTGTGTGGTACATGGTGACCTTCTCCGGCCCCCCTTACCCAGGGCAGGGTTTTGGAGAACAGGGTTCAGGGAAGCAGGGCCCAGGAGTCCTGGGGGCACTTGGAAATGGGGTGAGGGGGATTGAGCCATTAAGAGGTGGTGGAGCCTGAGGCTTAGAGGTTGAGCCTTTTGAGGGTGGGAGCACAGAGTTAACAGGAACAAATGGGGGGAACCTGGGCTGTCAGCCAAGCAGGAAGTATTTGCCTTTCCCTTCAGCCTAGGTCCCTAGGTCCCTTCCCCTGTTGGTCCACCTCCTACTGGACCCCACATTCCCAGGGAGAAGCCCTGGGTTCCTGCCTGACCCCTCCCAGCTCTTCCCCTGCAATCCCCGCCTTCCCCCATAGAGAGGCCAGAGGCTAGGAACACAGCACCAGTCTGAGGATTTAATTAACCAGGAAGGGGACTGTTGGGAGGGGCACCCCTGTAAAAATGTACAAAAGGTCTCGGGGGCTACATGGAAGGGGTGATAAATATGTACATGGAACCCCTCTTCCTTTAGCCCCTCCTCCCCCAGCCCTAGGAGGGCATGAGGACTTGGGTGGTCGGTGAAGAGGAGGGGGCACTTTGGCCTCTGGCTTAGTGAGCCCTTGGGGAGGCAGGCCAAGGACCTCGAGGCCCTCAGAGGGCGTGATGGTGCACCTCAGGAGATCATGAGCTATGACCTCTGAAATGACCCCCACACTCATGTAAACACACATACACACACACACACACACACACACACACACACAACTTTCTCTCTCTAGAGGTTTGTGACCTCTGCTCTACCAGTGACCCCAGGGTCCATGTGATGCTTATCTTGTGGGGGTTGGGGCTTCTGCTCCCAGGTTCCATGACCTCAGAGGTGGCTGGTGAGGTTATGACCTTTGCCCTCCAGCCCTGGCTTAAAACCTCAGCCCTAGGACCTTGTCAAAAGGAAAGGGGAGATGGAGCTTTGCCCCTGCCCCTCCCCTTCCCTCACCTGTCAGCCCGAGCTGGGCCAGGGGCCCTAGGTGGGGAACTGGGCCGTGGGGCGGGTACAAGTGGAGGTGGTGCCCCCAAAAGGGCTCCTGGTGGGGTCTTGCTGAGAAGGTGAGGGGTTCCCGGGGCCGCGGCAGGTGGCGGCGGAGGAGCCAAGCGGCTGTATAGCAGGGGATGAGCAGGCTCCAGACCATAGAGGCGGGCAGCAGCCACGGCACCTGGTCCAGTAAGCTCCTCACCCGCCTCATAGAAGCGAGGTGGCCTAGCAAGGCGTGGGGGCCCTGCCAACCAGGTTGGCTCCAGGAAGCCAGCACAGCGCTCTGGTGGACTAGGGCCCAGAAAGGGGGGCGGCCGGGGCCTCTCAAACAGCAGGTGAAGGCCCTGAGGGCCGGTGGCTGCTGCAGCAGCTGCAGCAGCGGCAGCAGCAGCGGCAGCAGCGGCGGCAGCGGCAGCAGCCTCCTCCTTTCGTTCTTCCTTCACCCGCACGGATTCCTTGGCTGGCCTGGCCCCCTCCTCGCCAGCCCGGGCCTTGGGAGTAGCAGGAGAAACTCGGAGCTGGGGCCGGGAGAAGGGGAGGTCCCTGGGGGCAGGTGTGGGAGAGAGAGAGAGAGAGAGAGAGAAGGAAGTCAAGTGGCAAGCAGAGGCTGAGGGGCAGGCAGGGTGCAGGTAGGGACGGGGCAGGCATACCTGTCTTTCTCCTCCTTGGTGATAGAGGGCTCCCTCCGCTCCACAGGCCGCTCCTTGTCTGAGCCTGGTGTCCGGGCGGCCTCAGGGGGCCGGACCCAGGCAGGAAAGGCCAGAGGACTGCGGTGCAGGCGGCCCCATGGGTCTGGCGGGGAGGCGAAGGCTGGTGGAGCCCCTGGACTTTCTTTCTGGGCAAAGACGGCGCCGGAGTCTGGGCAGAGGGTAAAGTAGAAAGTGACAGGGGCCAGAAGAGGGGGCCCCGTTCAGGCATCCTCCCAGGCCCCTGCCAGAGCATACATTACCCCACTGCTGCAGCCCCCCACCCCACCCCAACCTGCACTCACTGAATGTGGGGCTGCCCAGGCCTCCAAAGGCCCCGTTGGAGAGGGCAGCCAAGGAGGCGAAGCTTGTGGGACGCCCAAAGGGATCTGTGGGAGAAAAAGGGGATGGTCAGAGACTGGACAGCCTGCTCCAAGCAGGCATGAGGACCCAGCAGGGAAGAGGCGGAGCCGCAAGCAGGCCTGGAACCTCTGGCTGCATGGTCTCAACAACCCTGTGCTGAGCATTTCCTCAGGCCAGGCAAGGCTTTGGGCTTTGACATGCACCGGGCAGTTTAACCTCACAACAAGCCCCATTGAGGCAGATAGGATCATTCCTGCTTAAAGATGATCAAACAGGCTCAGAGAAGTAAAATGACTTGCCAACGGTCAGCTAGCCAGCGAGTGGTACCATCAACCCAGGGCCTCTCTGACACCAGACGTCAAGCTCTTACCCCCCACTCCCCAACATAGCCACCTGGACCCATCTTAGCAGACCTCAGCTCTGCAGCAAGCCACTTGCCTCAAGACCTCTGCTGGCTTCCCCCCATCTGACATGCAGAGCCCTTCCCAGCCTGACCCTAACTTCATGCATGTGTCACAAAGCCAGTCAGAACAACTACCTATCCTCCCAGGGAACCTCACAATTTCCCCAGCCAGGAACACCTTTCTCTATGTCATCAGGCTTAACTCCTCCTTGTCCACCCAAACCCAGGTTAAATCTCCCCAAGAGGCCTGCTGAGATCGCTAAGAGTTAGTGCCCATGCCCTCCCCTTGTCCTGCACTGCCTCCCCCACCCTCCTCTCCCAGATGGCACACTACCCCCCTCAGAGACAGGGTCTGAGCTGGCAGAGACTGGAAATTACCCTGTCTTTCCCTACTCATTTTACACATGAGAAAATCAAGGCTCAGAGGGGGTACAGTAACTTGCCCAAGGTCAGAAAGCAAGTGGAACCAGGTCTACCCCCATTCCAGCTGCCTGTCAAGTCTGATTTCCATCCCCAGCTTGAGAATCCCTGGAAGTCAGGGACAAGGCCTGGGTTGCCCAACATGCCCTTGGCTCTTACCAATGTGGGTGCTGGGGCTCAGGAAGGGTCCGTGGGCCCCGGGAGCTGCCGTGAAAGGATTGGCTGCAGCATGGACGGCACCTGGGGCAGAGAGGTGGGAGATTCTGATGAGGCTGAGTGGGCGCAAGGTGGGCCTTGGGCTATAGACGGGGAACCTCAGGCTCCGAGAGGGCTGGCCAGACTCACCAGTCGCAGTGAAGAGGGAGGCCGGGTGGGAGAGCTCCTGCCCAGGGGGCAGGGCCCCATAGGGCCCCGGAAGGCAGGGCAGGAGGTCGTTCCGAAAGTCAAGCTTGTGGGAGTCACCCTGCGTGGGACACAGGGAGAGGGGCAGTGAGTGAAGAGCCAGGTCTGGTCTAGCTCTTGCTCTCCCACCCTTAGTTCCCCTCCAAGGGCTGGCTGGCACCAAGATGGGGCTTGGATGCCTATCCTCTGCTTCTCTCAGAGCGTTTCTGACCATCCCCCTAATTAGCCAGAGAACTAAATGCCCAGCAGCGACAGGGGACAGGAGAGAATGTTTCTGGCCAAGCTTCCACTGAGCTCTGTTGAAGGTAAATTCCAGGAACTCAGGCCACCCCTGACTCTCAGACCCACTCTCCCCAGCCCTCCAGCCCCAGTACCTTCATCTTTTCCTGGTGTCTCAGGATCATGTAAGCCACGCGCACGTGCATGGCACACCACTTCCCTGGTTTCTGCCGCCCCAGAAGGATGACCAAAGGGAAAGGGAAGGAAAGAACGTTCTCTCATCACCCACTCCAGGCCTGGCCCTGGGCCCAGCCTTGCCATACAACATCCCCATTCATCATCCCTACAACTGAGGGATGACTAGGTTCATTTTATAGCCTAGGAAACTGAGGCTCAGAGAGATAAACTGTCTTGCCCAAGGTCCCATGGCCAGTTACATCCGAGCCCAGGTCTGTGACTTGAAATCCCATCACTTTTTACTATTCCACATCTGGCTGCCTCCATATACTGAGCTTCTCACTTGTTCCCAAGCAAGACCCCCCTCAGCCAAACACCCTGACACCAGCCCCCAGCCTCATGCAGCCTGAGGTCCTCACCCAACTCACCCTCAAAGGTGGCCGGAAATGGTCGGGGATCTGGGGATGGCAAAGGAGAGATTGGAGGCGATTCAGACCTGATAACTGAGCTGGGTGCCAGATCTCCATAGCACCCACTCACCCACCAAACTCCTCCCTGAGACTGTGTAGCTCCTTTAAACCTTTCCTGCTTGGGTCAAAACTCCTTTCCCCATTTCTCCCACTCCAGGTAACTCCCCTCCAGCATAAGGTTTCTGAACCAGGCCCCACGGAGGTGCCCTGCTTGGACTGCTGTGGGATGGGTGAGTGGGCAGGCAGGACAGGTTTCTCAACTAGAAAAGCTATCCTATTAACAGCTTTGTAATTCAGAGGTCTGTTTATGATTTCTTTAGGGAAAAAAATGCCTTTAAGTTGGAAAACCTGTTCTAGTGTACCCTTTAGGAAACACATCCTGTGCTTTTCACAATGTTCCCAGAGCCCGGGGGTCTAAGGCTGCTGCATGTGCCAAGGGGGAGGGAAGGCTCTGGCTCCTCAGCCACTTCACAAAGGGGCAGCTTATCTTTTCATTGTTTTATGAACAGGGCTTCCTGGTATGATGTCATTTATTAAAAAAGCGTTCTGTGACTCAAAAAAATTTGAAAACCCCTATAGAGACCACTGTCCTAAATAATCTTATTCCTGGGACAATCTCACGAAATTCCTCCTATTCCTCATGACTGTGAAATCCTGTTATTTACAGACATTCCCTTTCATTAGACACCCAGAGACAACCCTGATCACGTATTAAAGGGAGAAGTCAGTAGTTCACTCTCCCACAACATACCTTGCAGCTCCCCCAGGACCTGCCCTGGCCCCCCTCACCTGTGTCCCCTTCTGGGGGAGCCCGCTTGGCACTGGCCCCAGTCGTGGTGGCAGCTCAGGGTTCGTGCTCTGGGAAAGGGGAGTGGAGGGATCAGACAGGAAAGCTGGCACCAAGCATAAAAGGGGCCTAGAGCCAAGCTAGGGGATGGGACAGGGGAGGGAGCATGGCTTTAGAGAAACCTGGGTCCAGAAGGGGAGGAGAGGAGGATGGGCATGGTTTGAGGAAGGGGAAGAAGGTATGTGGATCTGGGGTGTCTGGGTTTGTAAAGGGTAGGAGGTGGTGGTGTCTGGATTGGGAGCTCACCTTGGGCTGGAAGGCCCCCTGCAGGGAGCCAAAGGAGACAGCCGGCGGGAGGCCCGGAGGTAGCCCAGGCACTGCGGGAGGGAAGGCCGTGTACGGCTGTGGAGAGAAGGGGACTAGTCCAAGCAGGGGGTGGAGGTGCAGCCCAAGTCTGGTCTGCCCATCAGTCCTCTGGCCTCCACCCTAAACTCCCCCCAGGGAGCGGTCCCAGGCTCAAGGCTCTTGCTTTTGAAGCTACAGACTGGACCCCAATGGTCAGGGCCACAGCACTGATGCATCCACACCCACACCACTCACACACACACGCACACTCACATTATGTCGGAAAAGGCCTTCCATCTTTCCTGGATATTTCTCAAACTAGGGAAGAGAAGGGAAGAGTGAGCTGCCAGCCAGGGACCCAGGGCCTTCCCCTAGAAGCCACACCCTCCCCCCAGGCCTCTGAGCCTCATCACCAGCCCAATGAGGAGCTCACCATGTGGGGGCCGTGGGGTGGCAGCAGGCCCGGGGGGTAAGGGGTGAAGTGCTGGTGGGTGTGCTGGTGGGTGTGCTGGTGCTGGTGGTTGTGCTGGTGGAACTGGAAGGCCAGGGGCCGGGCCGAGCCCCCTGCCCCCACCACCTCAGGGCCACCCGGGGCATTCAGGTAGCGAGAGTTCAGGTCCTGGCCCATCAGGTCCTGCTCTGTGAGAGGGGAGGGGGAGAAGGCTTTAATGTCTGTCGCCGCCATAGCCATATCAGCCTTCTTGGGTCCAGGACTGGCCTTCCCTCTGGCCTTGAGCCACTCCCTCCTCAAGCCCTGCTGTCTGCTGAGGCCCAGATGCCCCAAAGTCGACTGGGCCCCAGCCCGGGGCCATGGTCCCCCACCCCCCGGCCAGGACCCCAAACTCACCAGAAAGGGCGTTAGCGGCTGAGGCCCCAGGGTGCCCTGGCACCTGCAGCAGGGGTGGGGGTGGGGGCAGGGTGGGGCCAGGGGAGAACAAGGAAGGGTGGTGGGGTGGTGGGGGGGGCCGCAGCCCGGGGGGGGGAAAGCCGTGGGTGGACAAAGGCAGGGGCAGTGAGGGCGTCGGGGGCCGGTGGGTGAGCTGCGCGGACGAGGAGGAGGCAGATGAGGAGGAGGAGGACGAAGAGGATGATGAGGGGGGAGGCTGAGCCACGGGAGGGGCCGGGGCCTTGGGGGGCGGCCGTGAAGAGCTGGGGAGAGAAGTGGGGAGATGAGTGAGGGGGTTGGGAGGTGCCAGCTCTGACGGGAGGGGGTCAGAAGCCTGGGTGATACCGTGACTCTGGTTCTTCAACATGGGAAGTGGCAGAACCCAGCCCCCAGGATCCCCCCACCCAGGGAACCCGTCCTCAGACTGAGGTGCCTCCCACACCCAGTGGACCCCCTCTTCTCCCTCTCTAGGTCTCTTCTTCCACACAGCTGCCTCTGCCATGTCCAGCCATATGACTTTCCCTTTCTGACTCAACCACAGCACAAAACAGATCATTCATTTTGACGCTTAATTATAACAGGCCACCTGGGTTTCCCCACTAAGACAGTGGAAGCAGCACCGTCCTGGCCTGGCCTGGGAGTCAGGAGACCTGAATTCTAGGCCCATCTTGCCATTAATGCCCTGGGTGACCTTGAGCAAGTCACTGCCCCCTCTGAGCCTTAGTTTTCTCAATAATAATAACAATGATAATGATGATGACAATAAAAATAGCATCCATGATAATAGTGTCAATAATTCTTACCCTTTGGTGAGCACTTACTGTAGGCTAAGTGCTGGCACCTGCTTTATATGCTAATGCAAGTGTCTCCGACATTTCACGCCACCTTCCCAACTGCTATCCCGGCAGTGTAACCATCTGTACTGTACCTGTTCACTTCTTTCTATAACTTAACTCAGTTTTTTCCTTATTTACCTAGTCTCACCCTAAGCAATATGTGAAATCAAGGGATTGAGGTACTAGTCATATTTCTCGAAAGCACATAAAAGCTAACTCATGACTGTGTTAAAAAGTTTACTCATGTAAGACCTAAAATCATCCCACGTACCACTAATAATGAGTGCACACACTTTGGGAAACACTGCATTCACTCAGTTAATCCTCAAGACAGCTTTGGGATGAAGGTACTATTATTATTTCATTTCACAGAAAGAGGAAATAAAGGCTCAGAGGGGTTAAGTGACTTGTTAAAAATCACACAGCCAGTAAGCAGCAGAGCAGAAATTTGAATGCGGGTCTGACTGACACCAAAGCCAGCACTCTTAATCATCATGTCAGCATTTCCCAAAGTATGTTCCAAAGATATTCCCAAAGTATATTCCTACCAGATGTGCCTTACAAAGAGTTCTCACCAGCAAATAAAACTGGGAAACGGCACAAACTAGATTTCCCCATGTGTGAATGTACGAAGGGCTCAGATAAGTCCTGCAGTAATCTTGTTAAATTTGTTTCACCTAGTGTCTCTCAAACTTTTCAGCTTCAGAATCCTTTCTTTAAGACACACCTTACACGTGCCATCCTGTGTCCCCATCACAGAATGCAGGGGTTGGCACCAAAATGACCAGCTCCTTCCACACCAGACCAAACCCCCGGACCGCTCACCTGCCAGTGCTGAGGTCCAGGCTGCTGCCATAGGGAGAAGTGCGGAGGCCGAAGGGCGAGACCCGAAGCTGCAGCTGGGGCTGGGGCGGGGGTGGCAGACTGGGGGTGGCCGGCAGGGGTGCAGGGGGTGAGACAGGAGGCCGAGGGGCCGGTGGAGGCGGTGGTTCCTTTGGGGGGAAAGGCACTAGCAGCGGGTCGGGCCCCGGGGGCTGTTCCTGGCTCCGCTCCAGGCCCGACACTTTAGGGACCACGGAGAGTTTTGCTTCACAGTTCCCATTGAAGACGCCATGGGGGCCCGAGGCTGTAAGGGCAGGATGGCAGACATGATCAGGTGAGGCCCATGCTCACCCAATTTCCCTCCCTTGCCTCCAGCCACAGCCCTTAGGACCAACCTTTGCTGGTTGAGACAGTAAAAGATGGGTCGAGGTCATCATCGGAGACCTGGGGAAGAAGGATAGGGATAGGGTTAGGTTGTGGTCAGGCCAGGCCTCCATCCAGGAAGGCCAATGTCCTCTGAGCATGCTAGGAACTGGTGGGAATGGCAAATCTGTTCCATCAGTTTAGCTGAGATCCCTCAGAGACTGTGGGCTCTAGGTGCCCTAAGCCTGGAGAAAGGAGTGGAGCAGCTGAGCCCAAGAATCTGATAGGCCAGAAGACTGAGACGAGGCAGCACTGAAGTAACAGAGAAGCAGGCAAATCGAAACAGAAATGTCAGACATCACTGCCTGGTGGCCCGCGGGTCTGCCTGGCCTACAGATTTGTTCGGTCCACAAGCATTAGCAAAAATTTTTAAACTAACTGTGGATACTTAGAAATCCAGAGATTCCTCATTAAAACCCAGACTTACAGATTATCTCTATAATGGGCTCCCATTCTCATGGCAACAATCAACTAGAACTGGATAGCTGGATGGATAAGAACTCTATGGTTCACCAAAGTCTCCGTCCAGCCAAATTTCAAAATGGAAACGACGCACATCGGGGAGTGTAAATTTAGTTATTTACAGGGGCCAAGTGGGTAGAGCATTAACTGCTAGAACATATTATCTCAAAACAAGTAAAACAGCCCAAATAAGAAACTGAAATACACCTTTATGGGACAAGTTCTTACACTGACTAACTACAATGGTCTAGTGTCTTCACTGCCATCACTATGGTCTCTGCTCAGACTCTAATCTATAAGCCTTTCATTGTAAGAACAGACTAATGGCTAGCAGAAGGACCAGCTGAGTTCCACAGCCACTCTGGATTTCTGTGAAGAACCAATGGTAGCTTCAAGGGCTTTGGAAAGGATGGGACAAAAAGACGTGGACCTTTCATTCTTTGGTCAGCCAGCCTTAGTCACCAAAAAAAAAAAAAAAAAAGAAACCACTTACCCTCCCAATCCCTCCCTTCTCAAAAATCTAATCCTTGCGGGGGGGGGGGGGGGGGGGGGGGGGGGGGGGGGGGGGGGGGGAGGGGCAAGGGCAACATACGTTACCTAAACATCTGTATCCCCATAATATGCTTAAAAAAAAAAAAAAAACCTAACCCTGGCTCAACCTAACCCATGTTCCCCACTCAAGGAGAAGCTGTCTGCTGCACACAGAAAGTATTTAAGCTGCACTCCCTTTTACAAGTAGTGACACTGCCCACCCAAGTTCTAGCCCCACTCACCCTCTCGTCCAGATCACTTTCCGCGTCACACTGGGGAGAAGGAAAGACAGAGGAGAGGTGTCACAAGAGGGAAGAGGAGTGGGGCCCAAGGTGGAAAGGGGAGGGGCCAGTGCAGGTGGACAGCACTTACTATGTATCCAGCTTCCAGAGAGTGACGGGAGGAGGCCTGAGAAAGACCAGAGTCCAGAGGTAAGGGAGGCGGATAAAGTCTCGACTTCCAGCAAGGCCCTCAAGGTCCCTCATGATTCACTCACATGCTTTCTCTAGCTGCTTCTCACTACTGCCCACCCTCGTTCCCAATGTTCTTGTCCTTCCCTAAATACACCAGGTTCTCATCTTTGTGCTTTTCCCCCATTTCTCCTCTTAGCAAACTTCTGACTATACTTCAGGGCCTGACTAAGACATCCCAGGGGGCTTTCCCTAACCACAGCCCTCCTCCCATCCCCCAGGCAGAGTGAGTGGCTTCCTCCTGTGGGTTTCTAAAGCATCTCTCCCAGACCTTTGCCTTCTTCTGCTTCTCAAGTTAAGGTCTAGGTGTTTGTTGACTACTTCTTTCCTGCTAGACTGCCATCACCTGGAGGGAAGGGCAGGGACCACATCTAATGTATTTACGATTCAAATAAGTCCTTTTGATGTGTCTCTAAATTATCAACGTGTTTGAAAGAGATGTAGCACTAGGCAAAAGCAGGTGAGTCTGACTGTAGCCAAGTCTTTGTGAAACCTGGATAGGTGTGGGGGCTCAAATTTGCTCTGCCTTCCTCTTTGCCCTCAGAGACCAGGGTCACTGTTTACAGTAGGCAGTGGCATTACTGATTCTCTAAGTACTTTCTGCCTAAACAGTTTTAAAGGATGGGGATCTGGAATAAGCTCACCTCTTTCCTTCTCCGCTTATTGGGCCATTTTCGGGCCCGATCCCCTGGTGGCCGGCCAGGCTCCCGATCAGAGCTGTCCCCTGGCTCCCCAGTGGCCCCACTGGAGCCCCCCCTCTTCCGTTTCCCAGAATGCTTCAGCCGATGTTCCAGTCGCTCTGGGGGCTGAAGAGATGCATCCTTCTGTGGAGGAGGAGGTGGGGCTGAAGTGGATGGAAAAAGGAAAGCTCCCGACCTCTCTGGGGGTGACCAGGCTACCAAAGTACCCTCAGGCTGGGTAACCTGGTTGGTCCCTGGAAACTAGTTCTACCTCCTCCCACCCCAGGGTGGAGCAGAGGCCTGGCCAGAGGAGCCGGTTGCTCTGGTTTGGGGTGCCAGCATTCCCCCCTCAACTCCACCCACTCTAGGCACTATACCCTTCTCTCTGCCCCTCAGAAATTCCCAAAGGCCCCCAGCCCCATCAGGCCCCACCTGCAAGGCTTCGAGGCTGGCGAAGCTAGCGATGGCGAAGCCATCGATCAAGTCCTCCTCCTCGTCTTCCTCCTCCTCAGGCTCCTCCTCGGCTTCCCCGTCGTCTGCGCCCCCCTCCTCCTCCTCCTCCTCTTCCTCCCCGCGGCTGCCCGAGCCGGCAGGCCGCTTTCGAGCTCGGGGTCGCGGGGGTCGAGGCCTGGGACGAGGTCGCCGCCGTCTCGGGCCCCCAGGCCGCTCTCCAGACGAAGCTGACGACCAAGGCCTGGCGGGCGGCGGCGGTGACGACGAGGACGAGGAGCCGCGCGGGGCGGCCAACAGGGCCCGGGGCGCGTCGCCGCCTGGACCTCGGCGGCGCCGCTGCTCCCGGTCTCGGTCTCGGCGCGAGCAGCGCCGCCGCCGCCGCTCCCCGTCAGCTGCCCAGCCCGGGCCCGGGGCCGCGGCCGCTGCCGTCTCCATGGCGACCGCCCTCAGCGCCGCATCCGGAGGCGGCGGGGCCCGAAGCGGCCTGTCCGCAGGCCCGGGGTCGCAGGCGCGGCGCTGACGGCTGCACAGGGACGAGAGGGCCACGGCTTCCCCTTTAAAGCAGGATCTGCTGGCCCCGCGCTTGCCCCAAGGCCAAGGCCCGGGGAGCCGGCGCCGCCCCCGGGTCGACAAGCCCTAGGGGCCCCCCCTTGGGCCCGACGGGGCCGCGACGGCGAAAACGGGCGGCCGTCGCTTTAAAGCGAGGCCTCAAGTTGTCCAGCCCCCGGCTCCTTTAAGACGATCTGACGGTGTCCGGCGGAGTGCGGTGGCCGCCCCCTGCCAGGGGTCGAGACAAGTCTCCCCGAGGAAGAGGAAGGGCCACCCCTTTAAAAGGGGCCGAAAGCTCGCCCCGAAACGCAGACCTCCCCTTTAAAAGTGTCTCAAGTCCTCCGGCTAAAAGAGACCACCCCTTTAAAGAGTCCAGGGTCCTTCAAACTGCAGGCCGTCCCTTTAAGGGCTCAGGAGTTAGTTTCTAGTCCGCCACAAGCTGCCACTTCCCCTTTAAGCAGAATTTAAAGGACTTCTTGCGGGGCGGAGGGATAGAAGGAGCTGAGAAACCGCACTCGCCCCAATTCTCCCAACAGCAGTTAATTTGTCAGCTTCTGTTCAGCGGCTTCCCCTTTAAGGCTGGCGTTGGAGTCCGCCGAGTTCAGTGGCCACCCCTTTAAGGAGATTTAAAGGGTCCTCTTCCAGGCCCAGCTCTTCCAGCCTCCGCCTCCGGTCGCCATGAAAGGCGGGAGGAGAGGCGGGGCCGCGGGGGCCAGCCCTCCAAAGCCCCGGATGTGAGGCAACGGTGACGGATAGAGCTTCTCTGTCCGCCGACATAAAAGTCTCTTCCTCCTTTCCTTCGTCTCTGTCTGACTTGTGTCTTAGGGGATCCGGAACGGCTGTTGGGCAGCTGGGGAACTCCAACGCACACTCCTGTTGTCTCCTTTGGAGTCTTGGGCCTCTTCTCCGCCAGGACTTCCCTGCCCCTCCTCCCTCTTCCTCCTCAGCCTACGCCTCCTTCCTCTCTCTGCCTCCTCCCGACTCTCCGCCCCCTTCCCTTCACCCCCCACCCCACCAGACTAAGTCGTGGATAGGTTGAGAAGCAGACGCCAAGGCGAAGGGCGGAGTCAAACTCAGGGGCGGGTGTAATATGTAACCGCCCTCAAATCTTGGATTGGGTTCCGTCAGATTAGCTCCGCCCTTCCTCAAGTCTCGTGACTCAGCTGGTTAGAAGTAGGTGTTTGGGGCGGTCCCCCACTTAACCACGCCCCTTCCTGCTATTCGATTATTGGCCCACATTTTGACGGAGACTAGGGGAGGAATTGGGATGTGGAGCTCGAGGCCTGAGGAGCGGTTGGCCGCTGGGCGGCGTGCAGCTGCGCCTTGGACAACCAGTTACGTCGTCTGCCCCTTTCTGCCACTTGGCGTAGCGCACAGGCCTCCTGGCGCCTCTCGCATGTGTGTGGTGATGCCACCGTCCGGCTGGTTGCGCGGTGGATAGGTCCGCGGTGCGGGGTGGCCCGAGGACGCTGCGTGATTTGCTAGCGCCGAATGCGGGGGAAGGAAACCGCGTCCGTTAGTGCTCGGTTCAATGTGAGGGTGCTGGCCTGCGCTAACAATTAAAAAACACCTTGCACTCGTTAGCCGAGCGCTTTCTCACATACTAACTTGTGGGTGATAATGATTCTATGAGGTAGATACTGCTATTAGCAGCGGTCCCCAACCTCTTTGGCACCAGGGACTATTTTTCCACGGGGAGCAGGGGAGGGGGAACCGGTTTGGGATGATGCGATCACGTTACATTTATTGTGCAGTCAAACCGCTCTGCTAATGAGAATCTATTTGTGGCTGCTCCCCAGTGCTAGCATCACCGCCTCAGCTCCACACAGATCATCAGGCATTAGAGTCTCATAAGGAACAGGCAGCCTAGATCCCAGTTTACAGTAGGGTTGGCACTCTTATGGGAATGTAATGCTGTCACTGATCTGACAGGAGGCGGAGCTCAGGCCTCAGGCGGTGATGAGAGCGATGGGGAGCCGCAGTAAATACAGATGAAGCTTCAATTTTGCTGGCTGCTTATCTCCTGCTGTGCGGCCGGGTTCCTACCAGGCGGGGACCTGTACCAGTCCCCAGACTTGGGGTTGGGGACTGCAGGCTATTAGCCCCATTTTACAGAAAGGGAGGGGAATTGATGCACAAATGGGTTGTTAGTTTCCCAGCCAGGATTTGGATTAGAGAAACCTAGCTCCAAAGTCTGCTCTAGCCCCTGCTCTTGCTGCCTCTAAATTATTAAAGGTGGGTCCCACTGCTAAATTTGACTGACTTTAAAAAAGAAAAAGTACCACTTCTGTCCTCATTGCCTGGGTTGCCATTTTAATGCAGACAATGCTCTGACATGCTCACTTTGCTTTCTTATCTATAAAATGGCTGTAATTCCCTCTCACAGGGATATGTACAGGTTGAGTACCTGTGACAGGTTGTTGTAGGTACTCGATTATGGCTGATTACTCTTAGCTCTTAAATCCAGGCAGCAGGTCCTCACCAGCATGCTAGGAGGAATTTGGGGTCATTTTGGTCAAGGCCTAGGTCCACTATAGGCCTTTGAGTCTCCTTGATATAAGTGAATTGGGATAACCCTGACCAGGGTTCGGGGTCAGAGTATCATCTGGAGCTGATTCAGACGTGTCCCTGCACACAGGGGAATTCTCCAATCAAGGGAGTGTCTCCAATGACCATTCTACCCCTCCCTGTACTCAAATCCCCTCACCTTCATTGGCACCACCCCCATTTCTCAGTCCTTTGGGCTCCAACATAGAAACATCAGCCAGTACTGCCAATCTATCTCAAACTCAGCCACAGACAGAAAAGAATCAGAAACATATGGAAAACTTTACTAGAAATATAGAGAAAAAAATACAACTGCCTCAGAGGTTTCACCTCCCTTGAGGATGGATTGATAGACAAATAGATGGAGCTCCTAAGTCCGATGAGGCTGCTCCCCATCCACTTTTTCCTCCTCTAGGAGCAATGCATCTAGCTCCTCCAGCCGTTGCTGTAGCAGGGGTCCCACATCTGGGCTGGGGGCCAGGTTAGGAGTCAGGGTCCTGCCAGCTGCAGCCCGGACTGTGCGGGATGGCCGCCGGGATCGAGGATGGCTGCTGTCCCGAAATTCTACAGCCCGTCGGAGCTTCCTTGAGCTGGTGAAAATCAGAGTCCCATTTCGTTCCCGGGGTTCCTCAAAGATGGTCTCAAAGGTCCTGGACGAAGGAGGGAGAGGAGCTGGTTTACTGCATGCCCCTTGGTTCCAGCCTTCCCACTACCATTCTCAAGACTTCCAAATTTCTCACCTCCTGGTTGTGGGTGATTGGTAATTCTTGTTGGTGTAAATTTCTTCCAAGCTGAACTCCTTCTTGTTCAACCTAAGAGCAAAGAAGAAAGGCCACTGAGAACCTTTGGGCAAGTGGGGCCTGAAAAAAAGGATAGGTAAGGGCTGGTCTCTATTTCAGTTTCTGGGCCATGTCAGGGACAGGAGTTCTGACTGAGGCAGACAGGCAGTTCTAAGCACAAACCATGTCTACACTGAATTGAATCCTCTAGGCTAGACTGTGCTCCTTGAGAGGAGACAAAGCTACACTTCAGGGGATATGTTCGGCCCCCTACACCTGTTTAGCCAAGACAGCCCCATGCCCACTGAGCCTCTCACCTGATTGGTCGGGGCAGCCCCATTGGTGTAAGGTTTAGCTGAGGACGGGCTGGTGTCCTGCGTATTCTGAATCGAGAGACCTTTCCCATGGTCTGCAAAAATGGGGCAAAGGGTGAGTGACATGGGCTCAGGTCCCCACCTATCTGCTCCCCCCTGTCTGTAATCCTACCTTGGTCTCAGGGTCTGAAAGCACCTGGTCCTTCCCCTCAGTTGGCTCCTTCCCCTTGATTGAGCCCAACCTGCTGAGAAGGTCAAGGCTCAGGGACAAACAAGATTCACAGCAATATCCCCATCTCCTGCCCACTGGATACTGGGGGAAGGAGGCTGGGCCCAGGCTATGCCCAGGGCTTCAAGGAGGATTTATTGAGAGCACTACCTGGGTTCGGCTGGTTCGGAGAAGGAGGAAGTGGATGCCGTGGGCAAGCAAGATGTGGCGAGAGAAGGGGAGGCTCCCACTCCTCCGAGAGGGAAGACCTCTTTCCGGAGACAGGGCCGAGGGGGTGGTGGGGCTCGGGACATTTCCCCACCACCCACAGTGTGCCTCCGTGGCCGTGGCCGTATTGGTTGGGGCGGAGCAGGTGGCCAGGTGCAGGTGCCTGGGCCAGGGGGTCCCAGATCAGGGCAGGAGTGGCTTCGGCCCAGAGAGGGCTTAGGGAGTGCTGGGGTATTGTGGTCCTGAGCCCGCCACTGGCGGATAGGGGGCCGGGGGCTGACAGATGCAGTGCCCTCAGCAGCCCCAGACTGCTCAGCCTCTGAGATGGCGATCTTCAACTCCAGCTTCATGGGGGATGATGGGGGCTGGGGCCGTGGGGCTTTATTGGGTGTGAGGAAGATGTCAGCAAAGCTCTCCAGCTTGGAGCGGACGGAACGGAAGAGGGGGGCCAAGCCCCAGGGACTGAGGCGGGGACGTAAAAGGCTGGACGGTGGTGGAGTGGATGGGGGCTCCAGAGCAGGATCTGGGGCTGAGGAAAGGAGAGGGTCACAGGTAGGCATCCTCAGCTGCAGGTGTCTAAGCCCCACCTCCGTGGCCTCAGCTCCTCCCCCACACACTAAACTTTGTCCACAGAGGAATAAGGCTACCCCTAAAACACTAAATCCTGCATTTAGGACTCGAACCTCAAGCCTCTGAAGTCTATACCCCATCTTCACACACCTAGCTCTGCCCTGGGTGGGGGTTAAGCCCCACCCCCACCTTGCCATAGACACTTCCAAACTTAACTAGGATTTTCCAGAACCACAAGTCTCATCCCTCTGCCTGAGTCCTTACCTGGTGGTGGGCCCTCTGAAGGATTTGCAGGCAGGACGGAAGGCTGGAACAGGGCTTCTAGGTCCCTGGGTGGAGGTGTTGGCTGGTCAACCATCGTCACGGGCTCAGCTCTGAGGTGAAGGGACAAGGTAAAGGCTGGGGGAGCTTCCAGGTCCAGATCCACCTGAGCCAGCACCTCCCCTGTCCCTTAAGACTTCTGAACGTGCACAAGGAAGGATTGGATAGGTCAATCCTGATGCCCCTGGCTCTGGCTACCTGGCTGATGGCTGTTGCCTGGATACTGTGATAATCCCTTCTCCAGCCCTCTCACCTTTGTGCTGGGACGATGAAATTGGGGGTCTCACTGACGAAGCCCTGGATAAAAATGGGATTTTTGTGTGGAGGCAGGGAAGCCTCCTTTGGCTTCTTTAGCCTCCCATTCCCTGACTCTTTCAGTCCCCAGATATCTGCTTGGGTTTACACCAAAAACTTTTTTATATAGTCTTTGCTCAGCCAGCAGCTGCCACCTAAAATGCCATCCTCCTTACCCTGAGAGAAATTCACCCAAGACTCAGGACTCTTACCCTTCCTCTATCCCCACTGGAGTGCCTGTCCCCAGCTGAACCCCTGACATCCTTACCCTATGTTCCCATACCTCAGCTGGGGGTCTGGGACTGGCAATGTCTTCTAGCATCACCACCAGGGTGGGCTGGGGGACCCGGTCCACCTTTTGTGAAGGGCCCTCCTCTGGGCCAGGGTTTGTCTTTGATCGCCGCCTCAGAGTAGAAGAGGACCGGTGGATGCGGCTCAAGGGCTCTCGGCACAAATGCAGTGGGTCCGGAGGCCTAGAGAGGGAATAGGAATATCAGAGGGGCTCAGCTATGTCCCCAGCTTGCCCGCTATCCTGCCATGCTCACCTGGCCTGCGAAGACCACACAGCCTGCCGGGGTAGTGAGGCAGGTGGCTGGATGCGGACAGAATCCTGATGGTAGCTGTGGTGCCGTGGGATGGAGGTCTCCTCTTGGGACACCAAAGGGACCTATGAGGAGAAGAGGTATCAAGAGTAAGGTGATGGAATGTGGCTGGACTAGACAGGGTCTCCCTGTGCCTAACAGTGCCCTTAGCCACAAAGGTGACAGAGATTATAGCTAGAATTCACTCAAATCCCCAAAGAACAGGTGAGTTATACTGAATTAAGGGCTAGATATTACAGAATCTTGAGCTGCAGGGATGGGACCTGGGTTATTAATCTTCTTACTTAGGCTGTTTGGAAAAGTGAAAAAGACCTTGGGTGAGTCACTGCCTTATTTGGGGCCTCAGTTTTTCTTATCTGTGCAATGGAGTCAAATGCCTCAGCCTGCTGTCCAAGGATGTTGGGCTAGGAAGAAAGCAGAAAGGTTTCTCATACTTAAAAATTGTAGGGATGTGGTTCCAGCCCGGTTGGTGGTGGGGGATGGGCACTGGAGCCCCTGCCTAGGTTGGAGTGAGAGCCAAGAGGTCTCTAGCATTAGGGAGGCTGCCTGAGGGATGGGCATGAAAATGAAGTGTCTGGACATCAGTTATCTTCTGTAGGGATCTGGCCCAACTGTGATACTCAGGAGGGGCGTGGGAGAAAAGAGTGGCTCTCAGTTCAGGGGCCTCACCATGTGGGCAGCCATGACATCTTCCAGCACCACGGCCAGGACCCGCCGAGAGGCCTTTTCCAGGGGAGAAGGGGCCCCCAGGGGCTGTAGCCTCGGCCGTTTCGGGCTCCCAGCACCCCATAACGCTCGAGCAAGGGGCTGGCGGCACAGACGCGGCTGGCCAGGCGGGCTAGAGGGTGAAAGAAGCAGAGGACTGTCGCTTGAACCTGTCATTGGCGCTGTAGTTTCCCGGTACGGCCGCCAGGATCCCAGTCTCCCAGGCTCAAGACAGGCGGGCGGGGCGCGCTCTCACCTGGAGTCCCCGGGAAAGTCCATGGGGTAGGCGGCGGCTCCGGGGGAGTCCCTGGGGGATCCCAGGCTGCGGCCTGGGGTAGGGGGGGAGTCGGGGAGCGGGGTGTGAGGGCCGGCCCCTCCCCAAGGGCTCCGCCCTTCATGGTCTGCCCGCGGCTCCCGGTAGCCCACAGGCCCGAGCCCTGGGGTGCAGAAGGGCGCCCCCGGCCGGCCGCCCGGAGCGGGGGTCCTCCCGCCGCCGCCGCCTGGATCAGCAGATCACTTGTGCCCTGCCTGGCACCTGCCGCGAGAACCTGGACTGCGGCGGCCCCAGTTCTCCTACGGCCCGAGCCTCCCGAGGCCTTTGTCCCTGCAGATTCCACGCCGGGATGCCGGTCCCGAGAGGCTCTGTTTCGGCTGGATCCCTCCCAGCGAGTGGCCGAGGGCTCTAAAGCAATACTCCACACACCGACGATCCTCCCTCCCACCAGATCCCCTAGACTGGATCCCTGCAGAAAGACTCCTACAGCGCGGTTCCTCCAATCGGACGCCGTGCGAGCCTTCTCTTCCCCCTGTGAGCTTCGGCTCCGCAAAGTTCCACTCAGACAGGGGCGGCCCGAGCTTGAGCATCACCGAACTCAGTTTAGATCCCTGGGGATCCACTGTCAAGCAGATACCCCCTTCACTCCAATCCCGGGAGGTCCCGCCCACAGACACCCCCTCCCTCTCCGGATTCCCCACCCAGCGTTCTCCCCCAGCCCGGGACCAGATGGTTCGAATGTTTCCTTCCCCGCCCCCCACCTCCCGCCCTCTCTCCAGCCGCTCCGTGCCCTCCCCCGCGCGCCGCTCACCGCCGCCTCCCGCCGATCCCGGGTCTTTGGCAGCTCCCACCTCCGGCTCCTTTAAAACCAGGCTTACCCAACACTGCCCAACCGCCGAGAGCCTTCTTCTCGGAGCCTCCGGGCACCGCCCAATCGCCGGTCCCCATCTTCCGGGGTAGTGAGAAACTAAGTGAAGCCGTCTGGCGGCCATCACCCCTAGGGGCAAAAAGCCCAATTGGGCAGCGCCGCCATTATAATTGAGGGCAGATATCGTGGTCCTCGTTGAACCTTAGTGGAAGGGATGGCGTCATCTTTTGAGGGCCCGTCCGTGGCCAAATACAATGCCAGGTTTCCTGAAATATTGAGGCAACCGTAATGAAGCTAAAGTGTCGCCACGTTTTTTAAGGGCATCTTCCGGTTCTTTCGTTCTTAGGCCAATAAACATCGACTGAGTGCTAACGATATGTGAAATTCCCAGTTTCCTAGAGTGGCCTCATTTGAAGCTGGTTCCGGCACCATCCTGGTTTCCTCAACGGGGTACCCAGGGCACAGGGTCCGAGTTTGGGAGGGGATGGCGGAGACCCTGAGTCGGAACACCTGCGGCTGCAGACTAGGGCTGGTGCGTCCTCCGACTCCGTTGCTCACGCGGTGTCCTGGAGAGATCGGGCTGAGCCGAAGTGAGGAGGAGGCTGGGAGCGTGGAGCTTCACTTCCCCTGAGTATTGTATACTGCATTTCTCCCCGCAGCAGTGGGGTTGTCTGTTGGCCGTACAGAGAGTTCAGGGGTATCATTGCAGGAGACCAATAACCCACCTTGGTTCGCTTCCTTTTTTCTGTTCCCGGCTCCCAGGAGCCACTCACTCACGAGGGGCCTGCCTGCTGGGGGTCGTAAATAGTCCCCAGGAGTAAGGGATCAGGAGTGGGATCCCGCTGCTGGGAGAGGCTGCACCATGGAGACTTTACCTGGAGCCAGGCTGTTGGTGGGGAGGAAGTGGCATGTACTGGCTTCTTGCACCGTGACGACATCCTCACCAGCTAGCCAAAGCCCGTGCCTGCACTAACTCTCCTTCCCCACGATTCCCTGGTCCAAACCAGCCCTTTTTTTCTTGCTAGAACAAGAGCCGGAAGCCTAGAATCCTGGGTCTGAGATAAGGTGCAGAGGCACCTCCCAGGCCAGCATCATTCCTTATCAGGGGGCTGAAGGATGAAAGTAATGAAATAGGATAATATGGAAAATGCAGAATCAGTAAGAGCTTGTGTAGAAAGTGAAGACTCCCCAACTCTGTCCCCAAGGACTACAGCATCTCTTTGTAACACTAGGCCTCCTGGGTCCCCTGGAAATCCATTACAAGACTCCTGGTGGGTGTAGGTGGCAGCTCTTCTGCCCAGAGGTGTTCTCCCTCTGGATCAGGGCTGGCCCTGTGGTGCCTGAGGATGTTTCTTGGAGGTGTGGCTATGATTCATCCAGCTGAGATTCTTCCGAACCTTGGTGAGTTGAGAGTTTTAAACCCACAGGTGCTTCCCAGGCCCCAGGGCAGGAAACGCCTTCAAGAGCCGAGCAAGCCTAATCTAAGTTTTGATTTTCTAGGTCTCCTGAAGAAGTTAGCAACCCCAAGGGCAAAGGCAGTAATCTAAAGAAAAGGCCTGGGCCTGAGAATCTGGTAGGGAGGGTCCAGCCCTGTGACGCTAACTTAGGACACTGGAGTTCATCAAATTGATGCCTAAGGTGGACTGTGGCGATCTTGGCCCTCAGCCCAGGCCGGCAAGGGTGAGCCTTCACAGCCTCACAGTCTCACCTCTGTCCTTTTTGTGACTACCATTTCAACAACTCCTACCTTACCCATCACCTGTATATACACCACAGGGTGTGGCCAGTGTGTACTGACCCAGCAGCAAGAGGCTCCACAGCCCCTAATGGGGCTGGCACTGTGGAGATTGGCTGTTAGTGCACTTCATTGTATCATTCTTCAGAAACTCTGGGGCCCCTTAGACTCTGGGTCTCCCATCTTTTTAACTGTTCCTGGTCCCAGTTGTCTCACATGTAAGATGGCAACATTAAACCCTGTCATGACTATCTCAAAATAGACTTGGAACATTAACATCAACCAAGAAGACACATCCAAATGTACGTGAAAAATAATTTAAGTCTCAGGCTACAGGTGAAAAGAGGATGATCACAACTGCTTCATCTTGCTCTCTGGTGCTCTCTCCCTTCTGGTCGTCAAGCCAGCTGCCCTTGATCAGTACCTTTCTGTGTATGAGCCTCTAGCCTAAGCTCCAGATCAGCCAGGGTTGGATTGTGGCTGCAGACTGTTGAGATGGGTGGGATGGTCAGTTAGGGATGAATGGCCCTTTGCCAAGAACTACCCCTGAGAAATGACAAGAAGCATCGGGTTTGGGTTACTGCTCTGATTTGCATCAACCATTCAACAAAATGTCAACACCTCCCACTTGCTATGCCCTGGGGAAAGACCGGTGCCTATCTCGGTGAGAGTTTGGAGTTTTATGTTACTGCGTTTATATCGTCGTGTACAAGATTGCCAGTGGCTCTGCCTCTTCCCTCAACTTCAGTCCTGAAGTATGTAGTTCAGTGAGGCTTCAGCACACTCCTACCCATTGTAACTCCTCCGAAGAGGCACTTTCAAGACCTCCCCTGAGGGCTTTTCAACTCTAATCAGCCACTTCAGATTGCTAAAATTACTTTTTTTTTTTTTTTTGAGACACAGTCTCACTGTGTTGCCCGGGCTAAGGTGCCGTGGTGTCATCCTAGCTCACAGCAACCTCAAACTCCTGGGCTCAAGCAATCCTCCTGCCTCAGCCTCCCGAGTAGCTGGGACTACAGGCATGCACCACCATGCCTGGCTAATTTTTTCTATGTATTTTTAATTGTCCAATTAATTTCTTTCTATTTTTAGTAGAGACAGGGTCTCGCTCTTGCTCAGGCTGGTCTCGAACTCCTGAGCTCAAACAATCCGCCCGCCTCGGCCTCTCAGGGAGCTAGGATTACAGGCGTGAGCCACCGTGCCCGGCCTAAAATTACTTTTTTTTTATCTGAGAAAGCTGGTCCTGCCCATGATCTACCTCCTCTCTACTCCCAGTGTAGACAGCCACCTGCCACTAGTTCCATCCTTGACCCCTTTTCTTGGGAGTGGGGGGAGGGTGGTAGGCAGGATTCAGGTTTGGAGGAGCTGAGTGGTAAAGTGACAGGGCTTAGGGAGGATATCAGGAGGGAAGAAGGTTGGGAGGATTGGAGAGAGAGCAAAGAAGGGCGAAGGACTCTGCCTGTTATATCTGAAACAGTCTGTCACTGTGCCAGTTATCAGTTTATTGTCTCTCAGCTCCCAATTCATCTTTTTTTCCTGCTCTGTAAAAATGGATCTGGGCCCTTTAAGTATTTTTTCTTTGTCAACTGGTATCATGCTAAATTTTGTCAATAGATGGCTGGGGAGACATTGCAGGAAGAAAGGGTTTTGCTTCCTGGTTCAGTGAGCCCTACTGGCAGCCTCCTGTAGTGCAAGTGGGTCCCCAGGCTCCCAACTTCTGTGATGCAGGCAGCTTCTCCAGTGCCTTGCACGGTGGCCAGCAGCATCCAAGGGCCAGCAGCTCCCCCTGGCGCCCTTGCGGATCTTGTCCTCAGTGAGAGACACCAACAGACCAGTGCACAGTGAGATAAATGCTAAACTCAGCTTATATACAGGTTCCCAAAAGAGCACATAAGCAGAGCCAGAGAAGAATGCTTCTCAGAGACAATGATGAATATCGTGAGAATTTAAGCAGAGGGGTTTGGGAAGGAAAACTGTGTACAAGTCACCACAATGTGCAAAAGTCCAGAGGGAAATATTCAGGAGACTGAAAATAATTTGGTCGTCAGCCTATCAGAGCTAATACATGCCTTTTAGAACAAATATTTTGAAAGCTCCTTTTACTATGATGAAATAAATGAGTGGAGAAATAACCCATCTACAATCCTACTTTAAAAAAAATCAGGCCAGGCATGGTGGCTCACACCTGTCATCCCAGCACTATGGGAGGTGGGAGGATTGCTTGAGGTCAGGAGTTCAAAACAAGCCTGGGAAACATAGCAAGACCCTGTATCTATTTAATACAAAATTTTAAAATTAGCTGGGCATGGTGGCACACACCTGTAGTCCCAGCTACTTGGGCAGCAGGAGATCACCTGGGCCCAGGAGTTCAAGGCTGCAGTGAGCTATAATTGTGCCATTGCACTCCAGTCTGGGTGACTGAGTGAGACCCTGCCTCAAGAAAACACAAAATTTTTTATAAAAATAATGTATATGTTGGTATGGAAATGCTTGGGTAGGGCTTTTGCCAGAAGATTTAGTGAAGTGGTCATATTGAAATTGTCATGTGCTTGCACCTACTTGTAGGATTTCTATAAATATAACAGCTACAGACACAGACTATCACAGGTGAGTGTTGGTGATTCAAATTCCACAAGTGTGGCCATCTGTGTCATGATTTTCCAAAAGGA